GTTTCAGCCCGCTCTCCCACTTCTGAGTTACAGCAAGACACAAATCAAGTCCAATTTACATCTCCCTGAGTCTATAGTGTCCGGGAACTGAGCTCAGGTTCCCTTAGGGGCAGAATGTGCTCTTATTTTACGTGTGGGAGTGTTTTGCCTGCGTGTATATCTGTCTGTCTGTCTGTGCACCACATATGTGACTAGTACCCATTGAAGCCAGAAGTGTACCAAATCCCTGGAACTGAAGTTATAGACAGTTGTGAGTAAGTGCTCTTAACTGCTGAGGCATCTCTCTACTCTCCCATTTGGTCTTGGAGAATCTCACCATATAAACCAGTTTGGCCACTGTTCTAATTGGTTTTGTCAACTTAATACAACTTAGAAGCAACTGAGAAGAGAGGGCTTTTTGAAGTATTTTATTTGAACTTGCAGAAATTGGTTTTCTCCTACCATTTGCGTTTCTAGGGACCAAACTCAGATCAACAAGATTGGCAGCAAGCACTTTTACCTGGTAAAACTATCTTGCCAACCCCATAGGAAGTAAGTCTTACTGAGGTTGGCCTATGGGTTTATCCATAGGAGCACTGTCTTTTTTTTTTTTAATAATTTATTTGTATTTTATGTACATTGGTGTTTTGACTGCATGTATGTTTGTGAGCTGACAAATGTGTACTGGGAATTGAATGCTAGGACTCTGGAAGAGCAGTCAACACTCTTAACCACTGAGCCATCTCTCCAGCCCCAGGAGCACTGTCTTGATTGTTAATTGGTATAGGAAGATCCAGCCACTTGTAGGCAGTACCATTCCCTACTCAGGGGGTCCTCAATAATTTAAAGGTCAGAGAAAGCTAAACAGGAAAGCAAGCAGGGAACATGGGTGCACTTGATTCTCTCTGCTCTTGACTGTGGGTATGATGTAACTACTAGCTTCACTGAATTGGTCCCTCAAACTTCCTCTTAATAATGGAATATAAGCCAAATTACCCTTCCTCTCCTAAACTGTGTTTTGTCAGAAGAGAAATTAGGACAGCCATTTAAGTTTGGATCCTCCTTGAGGCTGGGAGTGTAGTTCAGTTGATTAGTGTGCTTGAATAACAATTATTTATGGCTGGGGATTTATGGTACCACATAAATGGTATGTTGGCACATACCTGTAATCCTAGTGCTCTAGATATTGAGGGAAAGAATACAAGTTTAAAGTCACCCTTGGCTACTTACTATGTTCAAGGCCAGCCCAGAATACATAAAACCACCTCAAAAAACTTCTTTAATTACACATATATGTGTGTGTGTGTGTGTATACATGTATATATATGTACACACACACCTCAGTTAGCCTCTGGAACACTGAGATTAGAAGGTTGCTTTACCAGCCTGCCTTCCAAACTGCTTATATCATTACAACCCAGGTAGTCCCTTCTCTGTACTACCCTCTACATTCCAAGGGAAACTTGTAGACTGCCAGTGCCTAACAATAACTACAGCCAACAGAGCCCCATGTGGAGGAAACACAGGCTCCCTATTCTCAAGGCAACCCCACTACCTGGGGATGGCAGGACTCAACCACAGCTATAGAAGGAGAATCACCTTTGTTGCTTTTTCCATGGTTTTCCAGAAGCTGAGCCCAACTTGAAAACTGTATTAGAGGTTTAAATATGCTGACAAACTCCAGCAGGGACAGCATCCAGACAGAGCTAGAGGTCCTCTGAGAGGAACAGGTACCCACACAACCTTGGAAACAGGAACATAATACCAGAGGAAAATAATACACATGCTATAGCCTTCCAAGAAAGCCAGCAAGGGAGTGACAAGTCTGGGGGAAGCAGTGCCCCATATCAAAGGCAAAATCACACACACAAAAGGGCTTCTCTGGAACTGGCCTTTGCTGTCTCAACACTTAAAAGGTTCCTTGGGTTAACTTAGGAGAAAAAGAGACTTGGTTGGCAAATAATTTTAGAGTCTGCCAGGTACATAACCCAGGCTATGGCTTCCTTTTCTGTCACACACATGTGTGTTCTATTGACAATGTCTCCTGTAGCCAGGCTGGCTTTAAACTCCTGCTCTTTCTGCCTCTATCTTTCAAACACTGGGATTACAGGCTTGTCTCAGCTTAGAAGCTACTGGCTTCTAAGACTAGTGAACTTGTCTCTTTGCCTATTGCCAGGCCATGCCTGAGTCTGCATCCTGACTCAGGTGGTTCCAGGTACCCCTCTGAGCAGTCCCCGGCATGTCCTTAACTAAAGTAGTCATCCTTATTTCCATTTAACCTCTAGATCTCAATGTGACTATTTGCATAAGTTCAGCTAAAGCCTAAGAGAAACCTCTTAGGTCTAACAATGTTTCTCTTCACGGCCCCAACAGTTTGCCTGTAACCACAGAACCACTTATCAGAACCAGTTGCAAGCAGAACAGCTGAGTGAAGACTTTACTGATTGTATACAGTGGTCCTTTCAAAACAAGAGCAGCAACTAAGGCACAGAAGTATCACAAAGCTTATCTCCCTTCTGGCTTGCCAGAAGTCATACAAAGAAGAAAAAGCCAGCCCTGCCCCTAAGCACCTTTCAATAAGATGGATCAGAGGTAAAAAGGGAACAGAACCAATCAGTTCTGTGGGTAACACCTTGAGGAAAACTGGTCCCAGAGGTTGCTAAGGGGAATATTTGCTGTCCCACCTACCAACAAGGCTTCCATAGCTCTCAGCCTCAGAAGTAAACAAGAAGCGAGCCAATCAGGCAAACACAGAGGAGCTGCCTCAGCTCAGACTCCAAGCTGGGATTCACATTTCATAGGGCAGCTGAAATACCCCATGTGACTCAAGTGACCCCTCCCATTCTGGGCTAGACAGTAAGCCAGTGCCGAGCTGCACGTACACCCCAAACAATAGCCCAAATCCTTAGCATGAGTTTCCACACTGTAACCATCTTTTTATAGAATAAGCAAAACAGAGAAACAAAAATCTTCTTAACCCTTGAAATGACAACCTCACTTTGCCAATGACTCAGCAGTCTGGCCTGTATGTCAATGAATTAGGTGGTAACTGAGCCCTCTCAGAAGTACTCAGAAACTTCCAGAGATGAAATCTAAATAACAGTGTTAGAAATAAAATCTCAATAACTACCGAAGTGACTATACAGCAAATGTTATGAAACATCACTTGATCTCATTTTGTAAAGACAAAAAGTGTCTCAGTCTGTCAAAGAAGCTGAAACTGACATTAAGGAACAAAACCTGAATTATAAGATTTTTTTTAATGTGGCTGGAGTTTTAAAATACAGATTCTGTAATTTGACTGGTTAAATTCTGCCTACTAAAATCTTGTTTAGAGTAATAAATAAATGCATCTCACTAAATGTATCTAAGCTTTCACAAAACTCTAACCCAGGCCAGCTCCCAGGTCAGTGTTGCAGGATTTTGATTCCAGCACTCCAGGACAGAAGCAGGTGAATCTCCGTGAGTTCATGGGCAGCCTAGTCTATACAAGTTCTAGGACAGCCAGAGCTACACAGAAGGAAAAACAAAAACAAAGTCTCAAAAACAAACAAACAATCTTCACACTAAACTGGGCGTTGTGGCACACACCTTTAATCCCAGCACTAGGGAGGCATCGGCAGCCAGATCTCTGAGTTCAGGGATAGTGAGACCCTAGCTCAAAAAAGTTAACACTAATGCATTCACTTTAAAGGTTAGAAAGCCCTCTCATGTTTATTTACATGCTCATTTTACTTAGTGAACTCTTGCTTCAGAGAATACAAAGGTCAACAGGATCCTCCTGCAGTTCCTAGACCTGTATAATTAAGGCTCAGCTCTTAACTCAGACCCACCAGGTTCCTCTCAGAACTGTATCATGGCACACAGCCCTCAGGGTGGTTTTGAAAAACTAGCAGCTGTCTGCTTAGTGCTAATAGCCTGGAAAGGCCAAGAGAGCCTATTTGATTGTTTCTGAGACAGGCTTTGGCTACACAGCCCCTAACTATCCTGGTTCTGCTACATAGTCCAAGCCAACCTTGAACTTGTCAAGACTCAGCTTCATCCTCTCCCATAATGGGGTTTTTAGGTTGTGTTTCCACACCCAACCTACTTCCATTTTAACCTACAAATCACTTCAGTGCTTACAGTGAGCCTACTGGGCTGAATTACCCTCCTTTCCTGCTGCTGTTGCTCTCTTCCACACAGTGCTGCACCCCCAGCCCTACCCCCTCTATTTTTTTTTTTTTTTTTTTTTTTGAGACAGGGTTTTTCTTTGTAGCCAGGAACTCACTTTGTAGCCCATGCTGGCCACCGAGATTCGCCTGCATCTACCTGCTGATTGCTAGCTGGAATTAAAGGCTTGGTCACCTCTGTACGGCTATTCCATCATTTCTTAAAGACAACAGTCTTTCAACTCTGAAAAAGAGCTAACAGTAGTCTGAAGCCTTATTTCTCCTCTTCCATCTGAAGTAGGCAAAAATGGAGGGCGGCGGCCAAGGCCTGTTAAATCCAGCTACTCTTCAGGCTGAGGCAGGAGAATCCCAAGTTCAAAGCCAGCATGTCTTAATGCATAAAATGAGAACTGTAGTGTTGCTCGGAGGTTGAGCACTTAACCGAGCACGTTCAGACCTGGTTCCGTCGCCAGTACAAAGTGGGAAAAGTGAGAGGCGCTACAGTCATAAATACTAATGACTTCAATCAAAGCACTGAAAATTCAACCTGCAACCTCTGGCCCTCTTAAACAATGCTGAACCAGGCGTAAGGGAAGCCAAAGGCCTGTAATCTGAGCTACTCGGGTAGCTGAGAAAGGAGGTTGGAGGGGAGTTCGAAGCTAGCCTGACCTACAGAGACTGTGAAAACACATAACTATGTCAGTGTGAACAACAGACCCCGAAAGAAAGGCCCGGCCTGCCTGTGAAGGGACTGTCTGTAAGAAGCACCGAGGCTCAGCCCCCAGCCCCAGCCGCACCGAACTGCATCGCGGCCTCCACGCACCGCACCCCAGCCCACGACCCTGCCGGCCCCGCGGCCCACAGCCTCACCCTGCAGGTTCTCCTCCCCGCTCTGCGACATGGTGGCTCGGCAAAGGAGCCCGAGGCCAACGGCGACAGGCCTCGGCGGCGGTCACTGGAAGACAGCACCAGAGCAGCCCGCCGCCCGCTCCGCTCTGAGGCCTGGCGACGCGGGGCTGAGAGACAAGGGGCAGGGCGGGACAGGACGCACGCGGCGGCCGTGCCCATTGGCTCGGGGGCGGGGCCTGCAGGTGGGGGAAGGAACGCGGGGCGCGTGTCGCACGTGCGGCGCGTGCGCGGGGCGGAGCCCGGGTGGGGAAGGGGCGGGGCCTGGGGCAGGAGCGCGCTGGAGGGCGTTTGTTTGTAAGCTGTTGGGCGGAGTGGGGCCGCGGTCGGTGCCTGAGGCTGGAGTAACAAGAACCAGGACTTGCCGGGGGGTGGGGAGGGGGCCAACGGAGGGAGGGGATAGGAGAGATGCTGCGGGTGGGGCCCGACGCGCGAGCTTTGGGACTCAGAGGTGCGCACTTTGCAGAGGCCCTAGAGGCGGGTCCTGAAGCCAGGCTGGCTAAGGTGAGCATGACGTGGGCGGGCTCTGAGGCAGGCGTGGCGTGGAGGACGTGCAGCGGGGCTCTAGGGCGGCTGGCGCTGGGTATGCAGTCTGCCCCTCCCTCCCGCTGTCAACCCATTCTGTACCCTGACTTGGGAACCCGCGGGCGCTAGTGACGGGAGCACGCGGTGTTATCACTGTCTCTATACATGCTTACAGAGGTTCTTAGAGGTTGGAAGTCCGTCTTTTTACGGTTCTGGGATAGGGAAGGGGCTTGTGAACCCCAAAATAAGCTGTAAATCTTAGCAGCAGTGGGTCAGGTCGCAAGAAGCAACTTCATTTGGTGTTTTGGTTTTTGTTTTTTTCTTTTCCAGACAGTGTGTCCTAACCGAGGCTGGCCTTGAAATGGCTGTGTATCAAAAGCTAGCCTTGAATTTCTGATCCTACTACTTCCACCGCCCTAGTGCTGGGATTACAGCTGTGCAGCCCTGCCTTTTTTGTTTTGTTTGGAGTGCTGAGATCATGCCCAGGGCCTTGCACATGCTGAGAAAGCAAACTGCCACTGTGCTATGCCACCAGACAGATTCACTGTGTAACCTAGGCTGGTCTTGAACTTTCCATCCCCCTATGCCAGCCTCCCAGGTTGCTGCCCTTACAGACAGCTCCACCACTCTCAACCAAAGTTTTCCTTCTTACACTGCTGGAGATCCAGCCTAGAGCCTTCCAGTTACTAAATACATTCTCTACTACTGAGCTGCAAATCTCTTTGTCTCAAACTCCCAAGTACTGGAATTACAGGCATACTACCACCACTAGCAAGAAAGAAACAAGAGCTATGGTCATGCTTGGTGATACACTCTATGCCTAGCATATTCAAGGTCCTGGGTTCAATCGCCAAGCTGGGCTTGAACTCTCAGAAATCCACCTGCCTCTGCCTCCTTAAGTGCTGAGATTACAAGCATATGCCACCATGTCCAGCTTAGTAATTTATTTTTAAAAAAATAATTAACTGGATGTGGCAGCTCACACCTCTAATCCTAATACTCTAGAGGCCAAAACAAATCATAAGTTCATTAAAATTTATGTATTTATTCCTGCACACATATGGAGGAATATTGATGCCATGCTCATTTGTTGAGATTGGAGGCCAAATTAAAGGAGTTGGTTCTCTCTTTTCACAATGTGAGTCCCTCTGACAGGCACTTTTACCTGATGAGCCATGCAGTAAACTCATACGAGAGTATATAGAAGTTAGTGAGGCTTTGTCTCAAAAAGTAAAAGGATTGGGGCTCGGGCTGGAGATGCTTGCCTGGCATGCAGGAAGCCCTTGGATTTGATCCTCAGTGTCACATAAAACCAAGGGTGGTGTCCCACACACGTAGCTGAAGCATGTGAGAGGTAGAGGCAGGAGGATCCGATGTTCAAAGTCAACTCTGAGTTGCATGAGACTGAAAAAAAAAAAAAAAAGACTAAGGATATAGCTCAGTGTGGATTTTTTCCCTTGCATGCGTGAGGTACTGGAGTCTATCTCCAACACTGGAAAAAAAAGAAATAGAACAGAATGATAACAGTCTAGGAACAAGGACCAAGTTATCCTAAATGACATTGTACCACAAAGGCACGTTTATTTATGTTTCTGAGACAAGTGAAGAGTGAAGGCTGGACTCCCAACTCAAGGATGGCCTCCATACCACTGGGATTACAACATGGCTTTATCATGTCTAGCTGAAGTTACAGGAACCTTGACAGTTACCAAAAAGAAAGCCAAAAAATCAATGTGTTTACGAAATGCACAGGTGGAGGGTAGGAGGGGATTGGATAGGCCCACAGGAGGGTGGGGGGAATCTCTAGGATTAGGTGCTGTCTTTATCAAGTTCTGAGCCAGAGGGCAGGGAGGTCAGGCAGTCAAGGTGAGCATTCCAAGAGTTTTGTCCTTAATTCGGAGGATGTTAGGGCAGATACTGAGGTGGATAATAAATACTTGTTAGAAGGAGCTAAAGATAGCCCAAGATCTTTTTGGCTCTAGACCTACAGTTTCCCCTTTCCAAATCAACATGTTCTCAGCCATGATCAGGCACTGCCAGAATATAGGTTCTGTTTTTCCAGGACCTTGGTTCACAAAGCATTATCCTAAAGGAATACATATGTAAAAATAACTGTTAAAGGGCTGGAGAGGTGGCCCAGAGGTTAATACTGCAATCCTTTAATACCTTAATACAGTTCCTCATGTTCTGGTGACCCCCAACCATAAAATTATTTTCGCTGCTATAATTGTAGTTTTGCTACTGTTATGAATTGTAATGTAAATATCTGATATGCAGGATATCTAATATTCATCCCCTCTGAAAGAGTCCTTCAAATCCCTAAAGGGGTCACGACCCACAAGTTACAGACTCATCAGGATAACTCTTTTCAGGATTCAACACCGTCTTGCCTCTCTGGGCACCAGAAAACCACATGATGCACAGACATACATGTAAGCAAAACCAAACTTAGTAATTTTTTCTGCTTCCTTCAGCACCTTTTAAAAGTCAACTCCTCTGCCCAACTCATGGGCATACTTATTCTATGTTATTATGAAGTGTTGCCTGACTCTGGAATTAAAAATAATGCAGGACCCAGGTTCAACCCCCAGCTCATAGCTACCTATAACTTCAGTTCTAGAAGATCCCATGCCCTCTTCTGGCCTCTATAAGCACAACATATATGTGTTATACATACATACATACATACATACATACATACATACATACAAAACACCCATACACATAAAATAAAAATAAATCTTTTGGAGGGAGGGGGACTCTGGAGAATAACTCAGCAGTTTAGAGCACTTTCTACTCTTCGAGAAGATCCCAGTTTGGTTCCCAGCACCACATCCATAGATTACAACCACTTGCAACTCTAATCTAATTCTCTTCTGGCTTCCAGAGGTACTGGCACACACATGACAGACTCTTACAGAGAAGCGCACATACAAAAGAATTTAAAACAAAAAATAAAACTGACCATCACAGCAGGGTGTGGAAGCACACACCATTAATCCCAGATCAAGAAGCCAGAGGCAGGCAAATCTCCGAGTTCAAGGCCAGCCTGGTCTACAAACACAGAGAAACTCTGTCTCCCAAAACAAAAACAAATGGCCATCACAGCAGCCCTCTCCAGTAAACACTGCAGTTTTCCCAAGCACAGAGCCAGAGTAGAATTGAGGGCTCGGATGGCCACACTCTGATCATGGCATAATAATTACTATAGCGAGCACCCAAAGCAAAAAGAAGATACAGTACATGAGCCAAAGGTGGTAGAAGTGACGGATGGGATTTTTACCCAGCTGGGAAAAGTCACAGGACACTGGGGGGAGGGATTAAAAAGAGGATGTGTTTCTCCATAGTATAAAATCAGAGGTGTGTGACTGAAACGAATGCAGCCCTGCTGCCTGTTACCCGGAGGTGTGCCTCTGACGTGGGAGATAGGAAGGGCAGTTTAGCTCCAAGGAGCCGTCCCAGTGTCTTCCACCTCTCTGGCACGACCCTCCTGCATCAGGCTGTACTGGCCACTTTGTTCTGGCTCCTTCTCTCCTCCAGGAAAACACCCACTTTTCCAGGAATTCACAGCCGTGCCGATGCCACACAAAGTTATTTTTAGAAACTGGCATGATGAAATATTCAGAATTGTAAACAACACACACACACTTTAGGTCCCAAGTTTGTACTTGTGCAGCGTCCCAGTTGGCTGCAAAGTGAGATCCCTAGGGAAGGAAAGGGTGTTCTTCAATAAAAGCCTGGGACTGTACTTGCCAGAGAATGTTCAAAACAGGAAGTAGCTCAGGCTCTGAGAGCCAGGCACAGCCGTGCTGAACTGGACAGTATCCCCAAGGACCCATCAGAGTGTGCTGGGCTGTGGCGGCTGCTGTTTATTTGTCCTTGGTTGGTGAGGCAATAGCTCCAGGCCTGCTGCACAGAGATTGCAGAAGTGGAGTAACTGGTCAGGTGGCCTGAGCCCAATACGTCTCAGGATGAAACGTGCCCAACAGCAGATAGGTCATGAAGCCTTTCAAGGCACAGTAGCTGTATGGCCACATGGTAGCCATGGTAAATGGAAGGAGACTGTCTTAAGAAAGAAATGGCAAGCCCAGTGTGGTGGCACATGCCTGTAATCCCCGTACTCTGGGAGGCAGAGGGGGGTAGATGCTCTGAGTTGGAGGCCAGCCTGGCATACACAGTGAGTCTAGGATAGGCAAGGCTACACAGAGAAACCCTGTCTTGAAAAAACAGAGAGAGAGAGAAAGGAAGGAAGGAAGGAAGGAAGGAAGGAAGGAAGGAAGGAAGGAAGGAAGGAGAGAGAGAAAGAGAGAAAAAGAAAGAAAGAAAGGAAAAAGAAAATGGCTTTTATGGGGAGGGAAGGAAGGTACAAAGGGGCTGTGAATATGTCACTAGACAGTCTCCAAACCCCAGGTTCCTCTATGCCTGAGATATTTCAGTTAATCTTGATCTCTTGGGGCAAATTCCTGTCATTCTTTTTTACATTTGTTTGTTTGCTTGCTTGATCTCTTGTTTTGCTTTTTTGTTTGTTTGTGACAGTATTAACATGTAACCCAGTTGGCCTCGAATAAGCAGCCAGTCCTCTAGCTTCATCT